ACACACACAAAAACATACACGCACGTACACACAAATACACACACATGTGCACACGCTTATAAACAAGCGCACACACACACACTCACACAAACATGTACACAAAATTATACACATGCAGGCACACACAAACATACACGCTTACACATACCATATAAATACAAAAATATGCACACGACGCACATACAAACACACATAAAAATACGTACAAACACAAATTGTATTAAAATTCTGGGGAAATGATGTAATATGGCAAAGGTTTAGCTGTTTCTAGATGTCACGGGTGTAGGTGGAGTATTACCATTTTACCTCGGGCATTGTCCTGACCGACGAGGAGCATCCTCTTACAGAATCTCAGATACTTCATTGTGGTCTAGCAGAAACTACATACTACAGACACCTCGAAGTACGGTAGCTGTGGTTTAACAAGTGGACTCATACTGGCCACATTTTGGCCTTCTCCCACGTACAAGGGGAGGAGGAACGGTTGTGACGAAAGTGTTACATTATGGAACCACCTGGACCTCCAGCCTGCTCGATTACCAGTTTTGCATGAAGCCCGTCGTTTCTCCGGTGAATAGTCGTCCATGGAAAAAATACAGATTTTTGGGAAATCGGAAAACCGTGAAGAGAATGATAAAACGAGAAGAGAAGACAATGATAAAACTGATGTTAGAACCTCACAACAAAGCATACAAGCCAAGGCTGTGAAATTTATTTCCTGTAATGCTGTAAGTCAATGGAAGTTTCACCTAAGGATTGCATACCGGCTCTTCTGTCAAATAAATGTAGAGCAAAGGCACTCAGTCGCCCTAATATACACTGCTATTCATATGTACTTGATACTTTGATCAGCTATAATTCGTTATCTGGTGCTGCATCGCTTGATAGTTAGTCTGCTAGTGATTTGACGTTCGTTTCGTCTTGAGCATCAGCGCCTCATCTCGAACGCCACCAGTTCTCGGCCACTTTTCTGACTGAGAGTGTTTAAAATACATTTTGCTCTGTGTAAATACGGTAAGAATGGTTGGTATGGGAATGTAACATCAATTCACTCGTAGCATTTTTATCTTCTACCGGCCACATCGGGACTAACTGTGCATGAAG